TTTTCAGGATTCACTCTCACAAAAACAAACATACAAGACAGTATTAAAATGTATGAGAGACTTTATTTAAATTATATAATACTTTACATAATATACCATATTTTGACAAGATCGTCATTTAATGTGAACTGTTCCATAAAACTTAGTCTAAACTAATCCTTCTGACTTTGTTGTGCTCCAAACATTGGCTGCCTTACTGTAGTTAAACTCGTCATAGACTTGCACGGGACTTTGTTCCATAAAGAAGATCCACTCTTTGCAATCATGTTGTGATTTGAGCATTAACTGCACAACATTCCTAGTGGGAGAAAATAAAAAATAATAAAAAAAAAACAATGAGGATTGAGGTTCAAATAAATGTAAAACATAACGATTGAATTGTGCCACGATCGGGAACCCAGTGCCGTATGGATAGCATTTCGTCTGCAAAACATGTTTACATGTTGGTTTTGTCAGGTCAACGACAAGGAGACTCGGGAATTTCGAGGAAAAAAAACATGAGGTCACTATTCAATTAAAATTAAAACGTAACGATAGAATTATGTATACAAATCGGGATTCCATCGATCATAGCGCGTGATGATAGCAGCTGTTGTTCGCAAGACGTTGACAGGTTGCCATCTTGGAAATACTTACACAGATCAACATGTGACCGGAAGATTACAAATTCGATTTTTTTTTTGCTTGGACAAATTATAACATACGCGTACCCATTAATCTATGAAGATATCCATAAATAATCTAAAAAAGTGACAGTAACGAGTGATGTTTTTTTTTTATGTCGTGTCTATACCAGCTCGTGTCTAAGATGTTGATTGAAATCGGTGTAGAACTACCATGTTTCGGTGTTCTTACGATCGGCAAAACATACACACACTGGCATTTTATTTCTAAAATTACGAAATCTTACCTGAACAATTGACCTTAACCAGGGAAATGTCTTTTTCCACGACTCATCAAAACCAGCCTCACGTCGTTTCTGTGTTTCTACACGCTTCCGTTTCTGTGCTGTGGTAGCGGTGATTGTACGTTTTAGCCGGGCGGACATCACCTTTTTTTCCTTTACATGTTTTGTCATATAGCATCTCGGTGTTTGCAACTTGAGTGACAATTTGTTCCCCATTGACAGCGTCTGTACTTCACACGTGTTTAACAATGGGACTGTTTAATTTGTCCCGGCAAGTTCAAACCGCCGTGGCGTAGACGGTGATAATTTATGCAGTGCTACGTGTGAGCGGGTCAAATAGACGTAAACAATGCATCCTATTAGCATGGCGGTGAAGTTGTAAGCATGGCGGTCCGAGCCCAAGCGTGGCGGCCGGGTCGCCAAGCATGGCGGTGCCGCCATGCTTTGTTCTATGTGGGGAGAACACTGGTTGTAATGATACATGTAGTTTTACTTGGACAGGAACTGAGCATATCAATCAAGTGAGTACATGCACTGTGTTGTAATGATACATGTAGTTTTACTTGGACAGGAACTGAGCATATCAATCAAGTGAGTACATGCACTGTGTTGTAATGATACATGTAGTTTTACTTGGACAGGAACTGAGCATATCAATCAAGTGAGTACATGCACTGTGTTGTAATGATACATGTAGTTTTACTTGGACAGGAACTGAGCATATCAATCAAGTGAGTACATGCACTGTGTTGTAATGATACATGTAATTTTACGCCCGTGTTTCCTTCCATTGGAGATGCATTTGAAATGGAGCAAATATGGCATGTGCTATTTCAAAAATAGTTTGTGACATTTTGGTATTTGTATGTACAATGAGAGACAACTCTGAAAGACAACTGCCTTGGATGTCTATTAAACTTGTACAAAATTTACATAACACTAGTCCCGAAACACCAATAAATCTAATTGTACAACTTTAACAGAAGTTGCAACTACTGTGCTTTTCAAGTTATAGAATAATTGACTGTGAATGAAAAAAACATTATGTCTTGCAGGATATCTTTGAATGCCGTACATGTGGATTGATTGGTACTCTATGCTGTTGTACTGAATGTGCTAGAGTATGTCATAAAGGACATGACTGCAAGTAAGTTGACAGTCTATTTATGTATGACACTTGATAACCAGGCCAGTTAAAATTGTATTTCTGAGTTGAGAGGACACCCAGTTTCAACAACAAAGTAGATAAAATTGTTTTAGCATACTGTAAAATGACTAATATTCACTGGGTTTAAATTTTGCTGATTTACCATTTCAGGGATATTCAGTGGTTTTAAATTCACGGTTTTATCATTTAGATAATGTGTTCTATACTAAATTTTACATATTCACTGGGTTTTAATTTAGCGCATTTTCCAGTCAGTGAAATAAGCTGAATTAAAACCCAGTGAATAATTAATCCTTTTACAGTATATGAATAAAGCAGGGTATATCAACAAAGCTGATCTATTAAATGTAACCATATTTTGAATCGTTCACTGCGAAAGATTTGGTTCTTGATTTTCCAAGCATATTTTTTCAATTCTTATTTTTCTCGTGAATTCATTTTCATATTGTTTATTTATATGTGTATTTTATTTGCAGGTTAAAGAAGACATCCCCTACAGCGTATTGTGATTGTTGGGAGAAATGTGATTGCAAGGCATTGATTGCTGGCAATCAGACAACACGATATGAATTACTTAATAAATTAATATCTGAAACTCATCTTGTGACGTTACCAAACAGCAGGTACGCGAATATTCATTATCCTCTGCCATGCAGTGCATGTGGGGGATACAACGGTTACCAGTGTATGTCTGTATATGTATAACGTCCATACACAGTCATAACTTCAGAAATTCAAAACTCATCATACTCAAACTCAGGGTGTGTAATGGTCATACATTTGTGCTGGAAACAAGATGTGAATTGCTTGCTCATTTAGATATTTGCATATATTAGAATGAAGTGAAAACTTCTCTTCTTTGAATTTAAATTCAACACTCATAGTCTTGAATGTTTGAATGCATGATGGTTTTACAGCTGTGATGACCTCTACCACTCCTCATGAATTAGGAGTGAAACCAGTGCATCTGTCATCTCTGATGACTGTCTTGTTCTTTCACTTGAAAGGAAAGCTTCAGCAAAATACTGTAGAATACTTTATTTTCGCTTGGAATTTATTTTCGCTGATGGGAGGTTTCTGTGAAAATAAAATCCAGCGAATATACTTTTTTTCTATATTTCACATTAAACTCATCAAAAGTCAGTGAAAATAAATTCAATACAAAACGCTAAAAATGCCTTTTCAGCGAAAATTAATTCCAGCGAAAATAAACTATTCCACAGTACTCGGACCTCATTTGGTCTTCTGTCATTATACATGTCAATGTATTGTTTACACTAGATTTACAATCTGTTTACAGGGGAGAAAACATTCTGCTGTTTTTAGTACAGACAGTTGCTAGACAGATGGTAGAACAACGACAGTATCATCCTACCAGGAATAGAGGTCCTAGGAAAACAGCTGATGCAGGTTAGTGTTTGCAAGATTAAAAACTACTATATCATCAGATATTGTCCTTGGGACAATCACTACAGCTACTACCCCATTGGGTGATGTCCTCTGAGCATTGTTACATAAGGAGCTGTCGTTTAATACTGTAAAAGCATTTATTTCCACTGGTATTTAACTTCACTATATTGGTGCTTTGAGCAATTTCACTGTGTTTTAATAAGTTTACATGGATTTATCAAATTTCACTTATCTACAAAATTAAAAACCAGCAAAATAATTAATTCACAGTATGTACAAATATCATGAATATTATGTAAATTATATGCAAATTAGCCGCAATCCTGCACGAAAATCCTCGGGGAAAACACTGCAGTATTGTGCATAGGAAAAATCACTCCTCTGTTTTGAGTGAAAGTTGGTTCATAATTGCTGTGGAAATGCGCTGCTTTTCAACTGATATCTCAGATATTTCAAGAATCACTAATAAAACTTGATACATAGGTGGTATAATCTGCATGCATGTTATACATGTTGTACATAAATAGTGTTTTATTTTGTTGCCTAGAACAAGAGATGCCAGAGCATAATTTAGAACCACCACGTTTCTCCTAGAAGGGCATTAGAAAGGGTTTTACAAGACTGGAAGGCTGTGAAAGCTATGATCAATAGCGGTTTCAAAGCAACTGATACCAGGTAATGTCAGCTGTCAAATTGTATTCTTGTGTGTATGTAGCTGCTAAACTGACAACATAGTCAATTGCTCACACAAAAAAAAAAAAAAAAACATGTACACAACGTGTACTAATATAAAGAGAATCCAGAAACACTAATGGATGATAAAAATTCAGTCCAACCACAGAGTTGCTGTGCTAACTTACCGGGTAATCAGTAACATTTAAAAATCATTGTATATTTCAATATTGTGATATTTTTGTGTTTTCAGAGTTGCTGGACAGGAAGAGTTTGCTTATTTACATCAACAAAGTGGTACATCTAGATTGGACTGCTTTACACACTGTATGATTGTCAAATGTAACATTGAGGTTAGTATATCTATTACCATCTATACGAGATATTTTACTGTGTTTTAATAGCTAATCATACCATGGGTGAGGTTGAAATAGTTGCGCATAATTTTGACTACTATGTGCTCTTGGTTGAAATTCTTGCATATTAATTACTTAATTTGAACATTAATTATCCAGTTTTCATTTTTTCTACTAATATCTCAAGAAGTGCTCAACAGATTTCAGACAGATGGTCTTGAATACTTTATAGTCAATACTGTGCATTCACATTGTGCATCTCAAAGTGCAAAGCTGGAATAGCAGACATGCTTCTTGTTTTGACTAGTCTTTCCTCTACTGTCAAATACTTTATTTTTGCTTGGAATTAATTTTTGCTATTTTCACTGAAGGAATAATTCAGTGAAAATAAAATCCAGCGAATATACTGTTTTTCCTACATTTTATTTTGAACTAGTCAAAAATCAGTGTAAATAAATTCCATACAAAATACCCAGTGAAAATCAATTTCCAGCGAAAATAAAGAATTCTACAG